GGCCCTTCCTTTGCCTGCTAGTTACCCCCGCCAGCGCCATCCTCCACTTCTTAAGCTCAAATTTTAACCCGGGAAAAAAAAATTACTACTATTATGTTTTAATTAAATTGTCATAATTGATTTTTTGTGATAATTTTTTTAATTTTAACATTTATTTATAAATATTTTTTAAAAAATAAAATGTATAAAATATATATTTAAAAAATTAATTTATTCAAAGATTTTAAATTATATTTTTTCATATTTTTATCAACAATAATTATTAAAAAAAATGTTAAAGTTATAAATTTTCACCAACAAAAATAAAAATGTGACAAGTTTTTTATGATGCAAGAAATATATCAAAGCCAACAAGACTTTATTCTGAAAAGACAAATGTTTCAAAGTTTGAAATATATAATTTCAATGAGATATACTAAATTTTATATTTACACAAAATATCATCTTTTTTTTTCTTTTAATTTTGAATTTGAATTATTTAGCATATCTATTTCGATAAATGTCGAGATTATGACAAGATTTAACAAGATTGCCAATAAGATTATGCCTTGTTGGATAGAGAAAAATTTGTCACCTAACCAAAATTTCCAACTCATTGTTTGAGCCATGTGATGTTTCGGACAGAAAATGTACCATTTTAAGGCTGTTCCTTCGACAAAGGAGATGTGAATCTCAAGTCGAAGCCGACCGACAATATTAAAACAATGATATTATATTCCCATTCAATTAATCATCAAATAAACATAAAGCAATTTGAAGTTTGTTAGTAATCCATTAATAAAATATTAAAATTTAAATTTAAATTATCAAAATTAAATTTTAGGTAACCTCAAGTAAATAAAAAAAAGATTTGAAGATGATTTATGTTTAACCAGATGTTCCAATTAACAATTTTTTCATATACATTAGTTAAATTTATGTACGGTAGATGTCCCCTTCATGTTCATTGAATTTATTTCCATTTTTGTATATATGCAGGCATGTATTATCTACAATTATTGTACAATTTATAAAGATATAATATTCAAATTTCAAAAATCTCTTATAAATGTGAAATGTGATTATTTTAATGAATAATAATGGCATGGTTTTGTATTTAAAGAAATCGTTTTCAGCCAATAAAATAATTATATTTAATATATTAATTTCCTATTTTTTTAATGTATCTATCTCATCTAAAAATATTTATGAGTTGGATTAGAATGGACCTAAATATATCAATATTGTACGTGCTTGCATAAGCTTAACTTGGCTTGACAATTCGATCTTCAAATTTTTTCAAGGTCTACTCATATTAATATATGATATAATTTAAAATTATAATTCACATAAATTTATGAGATATTGTTCACTTTGAATCATTATATCTTATGATTTTATTTTATAAAAGAGGTCTCACAATTTAATATAAATAATATATATATAAAGTAATATATATTTTATAATTTGAATTGAACTAAGTCAAACTGGAGCCTTGAATCACATTTAATTTTTTAGTCCAATCCTATTTAATGGATTTAATATTTTTGTTTAAATCCTTCCAAATATCCAATGAATCTTTGAATATGGGAGAGTAACTTTATCTTTGAACGATTTTAATCTCACCAATTAATCATAGATTAAAAATGTAATTTCTTACTTTTCATTTTTTCAAAAAAGAGATTACTTGAATACAACATTAAGAGATTACTTGAATACAATATTATTTAAAATTTTTTCACATCATTTAAGAGAAAGAAACTCATAGTAGTTTTATTGTAATCTTAAATATTTTTTAAATTACAATATCATAATCTTTTATATTACAAAATATTTACACAAACATATATTTTTTCATATATACCAAGTATCATCCTTTAGGTCATGTGACCATTAACCAAAAAGAAGGTTTTAAATTCAAATTCTCTTTCCTTCAAATTGAAAAAAAAAAAAAAAAGCCCTAACAGCATCGTGGTAGTGTAATACGGATCAAATGAAGATATCCTGCAGGAGTTAATTCAGGTGGTAAAAAATTCCTTTGGTGAGCAGGGATTGGGGAATAGCTGCTCCATGGTAGGTGTAGCTCCAATAATGGGATGATCAAAAGAAGGGGCACCCATTTCTTCCTTTTGCTATGTAAGGTTTTGCAAATAATTGACAAGAAGTTCACTCATCCATACACATACCATTTTGGGAACTGCAAAAAAGGCATTTAAATCAAGAGAAGGGAAATGGGGGACCAAATTCTATCCTCTTTCACTATACAAAGTACAAACTTGTTATCAACCTATACTTTTTTTTTTGGGAAAGGGGGGGGGGGGGGTGAACTTAACTAAAAATTTTCATTTCAAGTCATAGCAACTTTCGTTTGTATTTATTCGTATATACATTGTGGTGGAAAAACTTGTAACAATCGTTATTTTTTGTTTGTTTATTAAAGATGTGGTTGTGGTTGGCACCACAGATGGTGCAGTGAAGAGTTCTCATCACCGCACGGAACCTTACACCCATGGCTCCCAATGGAACCCTAGACCCATGCCTTCGGATAAAACGTGTGGAGTGGGTTTAACTGAAGTTAATCACAGGATCTGTTTATGATTGACTAATTGTATCTTTAACTTATGTTTCACCCGAGCACAGGGGGAAATAGTTGCAGGGGTTGATTGGATTGGCTGCTCTGTAGCCTGTCAACCCAAGGCCGAGTTGACTCGACTGTTTTACTAACCTTGGATGTACAATGAAGAAGGTCGAAATAGAAGCATGGGCCCAACAGTATGTAAGACCCATATGACCAATTGTTGAAATTATGGCCCATATGAGCTGGATAGGTTCCCCAAACAATTAATTAGTGGAGAGAGAGAGCGGGGAAAGACTAGGCATTTTTTCGTCCCTCAGTTTTCAGCACCGCGTACTGATGGTAAGTGGTAGAGAATGGAACCAACTGAAGTTTTTATTTCTTTGAATCGGATTGTTATTAAAAAATGAGTGATCCAAGGGAGAAAATTTTGCACATGGATTTTGAAAGTTTTAACCTTGATTTTCTTTGATGCACCTTGTGGTCTCTGGCCATGTACTAGATTTTTAGTGGATTTTTTCAATCTATTTTCATTCTCCAATACCTTTCGAACTTTGATCTTTTTTATAAAAAAAACCTGTTATCCTTTTTAAAGCGTAAGGATTTTCATTTAATGAAGAGATTTCACATGTACTAACTCATTTACCTGTTTAAATTAGATGATTGAGTTAATGAGATACTCTTGCATTTCTCTTAACTTTCCATAGTATCTAAAAGCATATAGTTGAATTTAGCATTACGTAGCTTCAATCGATATCTTGGCAAAATTAAAAAAAAAATCAACTTCCAATAGAAAGGGATCATTTATTATGTTAATCACCATTATTTTTTATTGATAGTTTTCATGAAAGCATATCAATTATAATTTTACAATTATCAGATCGTATTTAAAAATTATATAAAAGTATTTTCACGTGGCATGCATCCTATACCATTATTCAAACTTTTATAAAATCAACTGGTTGGGCAAAAATCTCCCTTCGACAATATTAATCCAGTAAGAAAGAACCAACTGGGAAAACTACAAGCATTGGAAGCAGTTCCAAAGATCCCAAGTGACAAATTATAAATCAAGATTAAAAGAGCAATTTAGGTTGAAGTTGGCGTACATGTGCAAACATGTGTTTGATACATAGAAGCTCTTGATTTTAACAAAAAAAGTCGAGAAAGGTATATATGGAAGCTCGCGTACGCTTAAAAAAAAAAATTCACAAATGCCCACATGTGTTCACGATTTTCTTAGAAATTGAGAAGCTGACATAGAAAGAGATAGGGCTGATTTGTATTTTGTAGATATGATAATTTGTATATTTATATTGTATTTATTTTATATTAAATATATAAAAAATATAATATTATAATATTATAATTTATATTAATATGTTAAATATAAAATATAAAATATATTTTTATTTTATTAAATTAACTTTTTGTATCGTATTTTTAAGTCTACACGTGTATGCATAAAGTCTTGGAGTCAACTGCTGGGTAGTACCCACTTCTGGCCCCGAGAAATTTATAGTCTCTCAATAACTTGTGCAAGCATGAGCCATGCCTAGATTTGCTTGTAACCGGTCTAAACATTTGACAAAAAGTTTGTATTACAAAGGCAGCTTTTTGTGCTAGCTAGCTTCGTTATGAGGACAAACAAATGGATTGTACTGGCAAAATATATTAAGATTTTGGATTATATATATTTTCTAAGATAAATTTTTTTAAAAATTTCATCTTTGAATATATAGTTTTTGGTTGTAGTTTTTCACCTAATTAAAATTGACTAAACATTACACATGGAAAGAATTAAAAGCTGAAAAAAGAAAGAAAAGGAATGATATACAGTTAGTACTTTTTGTCTTCAGAAGTTGCATAATTTCACTAAAAAAAAAGTTTGTAAACCCCAGAGCTGAAATTAACTAAACAAAATACATGGTATACATCTTTCTAAGGACCACATTTGCTTAAGAAAAATAGAATCTCAAACTAAAAACAAATTAAGGGCTTACACTGATGAGGCCAAGGCTAATGTCATCTCAACAAGAAAGTGAAAACTGGAAAAAGGCTTGAGATATAGAATAGAAGAGAAGAGATGGGATAGCTATCCATATAGTGAGGAAGACGTGTGCCTGGTTTTGTTAAAGAGGATATGCAGTGCCTCGCTGTCTTGCATGTGAAGGGGTTATGGCCTTTCACTTATCTCTCTTTCTTTACTTGCATGCACCCACTACAACCCACCCAACTGGCACTTTTGAGTTTTGATTCATCGCATTGAGAGCCGAATGGGGAGGGGTGACGACAAAACTATTCTAGGATTTGAGTCTGATTCTCTTGGTCTTTTCCACTCCCTTGGTTCCGTCCAACACCCGAATATAGGGACACATATAACTTCACCATCTAAGTTACTATTACCACCTTTTTATTATTATTATTATTATTTTTTTGGAAAAGGGGAGGTGGGGACTTCTGTTCTTGATAAAAAGGAGCCTGAGATAGAGGGAAAAAGCATTGAGGTGGGGGGTTTCTTTGGAGTAGGGACTTTGAGGAGACAAAGGAAACAAAAAAATGAATGTTTTGGCCTCAGAATGTAGTAGTGGGTGTGAGTCTGGTTGGACTAATTACTTAGAACAGTCTTTTCTATCTGCTAACCCTTCACATAAAGCTAATGGGTTCAATGATAAAAAGAGTGGTTTTTGTGAAGAACGTAGGAAGATTAGAGGTGAAGAAGAGGTTGATGATGAAGAAGAAGACCTTTCTATGGTTTCTGATGCATCTTCTGGGCCTCCACATTTCTATGAAGATAATGGTTATTTCAATGATGATAATCATTATCAATATACCGTACCTAAACGTGCTATGTTGAATAAAAATAATGGTGGTAAAAAACACAGAAACAAGGAACATCCAAGACACCGGGAAGATCAAGAGCTGCCCTCTTTTCTTGATGATACTGCCAGCTCTCCTCTCATCAATTTCTCCAAGGTAATAAGTTCACCTCGTTGATATCTTCTTTCAATCATTCTCTAATTCATAATGGTGTTAATTATGGGTTCTTGCCAATTTTCTAGAACAATTTCGCTCTCACCAGTAATCAAGCTTCAATGGAGAGTGTCTTTGATTATGCCCAGGGGTTCTCTGCGACACACTTTCAGGTAGTTGCCAATATTAATTTCCAGTTCCAGGTTTTTACCACAGCATTAACTTATATGTTCCAGTTGCTGATTGAAAAATGTTGATAGCCATTGAATTATTGCAGGGAGGACCTGCATTCCAAGACCACTTTGGTTTTTTTCAGTCTTCTCCATCTGGAAACCGGCTACAAAATAACCAGTTAAGTAATTTCCAATTGATTTTGTTTTTGCTTTAATTTCTAACATTGCACCATTTTTCACAATTACAATGTCTTAAGCATTCAGCATTATTTTTTGAACTATCACCTCATTGGAAGTTTCAAAATTGACAGGTGGCTTTAAGGAAAGAGAATGGAGTGCAGATGAGATGAGACAAGGTGGTAAAGTTTCTGTATATCAGCCTGCTCTTGCTGCTACTGGAGTTTGTGGCCCTTAAAAGAAATGGAACAGAGGGGATCTTGTTCCTGTTATTTTTCATTTCATTTTTTTTTCCAAATTTCTTTGTACCAGTTCATGCAATAGGAAATAACCTGAGAGAAAAAGTAGGAAATAAATTTCTTGTTCTTCAAAATTTGATTTTCCTGTCAAGGAAGTACTAACCAGCTGAGCCTTAATTTGTGGCGGCCTTTACATCTAATTATGTTTGGTCTTTGTTTTTGATGGAGCTCCATGCTATCTTTATAGCTCAAATTGCAGTTGATCACTTAAATTCAACTAAATACAAAAACACTCCAATAAAAAGAAATTAACTGCCATCAAACAGTATGAGAAGTATTTTATTTTCCCCACATTAAGTACTGTAGTTTCAGGATACTAACTTCACTTCAATAAAGCAAAACCAATAGTGATCAGTTTTTATACAGAAGCCTATCTAAAAGGTACAAATAGGTATATCCTTGCTTTTAGATATGGATGTTCCCATTGCAATGAAAGTATTAGCTTTATCACATGCTTCATTATGCTTCCTAACCTTTTGACATTCCTCTCATCTTGTCCCCCATCATCCTCGGTTAAGTCCCATGCTTGGTGTAATAAATTATGCTTCCTATTAATCTTTTAGAAGATGCGAGAACTACTTCCTATCCACAATTTCAAGCCGTCAAGGATAAGAGATCAAGAAACCAAGCCATGTCGGCTGTTGCATGGATGTGCAGGAGGAGGTAGATCATTTATGGATGTTAGTTTAGTCTTTAGTCTTTTCTTGTTTGGTAAAATTTAAACCTAAAACCGACACCATTTGTCAAGTACACACTATTTTGCAAGTGAACTATTATTTGACATTTTTTAATGGTATTGTTTAATCTCTAACGCTATTCTTTTCAACACAAAACAGGACATATGGATGTTACATACACCTAACTTTGGCAGCTATTCAAATAGAATATGATCAAATAAAGATGAGATATACTCAGATTTTATTAGGTGGGATTTTCCCCTATATCAAAATTGAAAAGCTAGCTCTTTCTATGTCTGAGTAGTAAAATCGAATCATGGAAAGGGCTTGGTCATCAAGACAGACAAGACCCCCAATTTTCTATGTGTCAAGTCAGGGCTCCATCCACCCTAATAGTTCCATTTCTCTTTATAACTCAAAAGTTTCGCCCTAAATATGCACATCAGAATGAGACAGGATGATGGAAAGTGTAATGGGGTGATGGGCATTCATATCAGAGCTCAGAGATGAGGAAGGAAATGACAAAGCTAATGTTCGAATATTTCATATGCATCTCCATGACCCTTTTTTAAGCCCCGAAGATCCTGCCTGTGATTTTCCTGACCCGAAGGAACATGCCTCATTATATTTAATAATTTGCTCTTCAATCTCATTCGGAAAGGCTCTTATTTTTAAAACATTTCTTATATGATTTGTGAATGCCCCTTTGCTCCCTCCAACCCTGTCTGCTTTGCAGCTGTCATCGAAATTGATGTCATGGCACAATTATATGTCTCTCCCTATGATTTTTTTTATTCATCTAACTATTCCCAGTCAGTTCCTACTGAGATTATACAATTTGGTTTCTGTTGAAAATGTTGAAAAGGGATAAAGAAACGATAGCACTTGGGGAATTTAGGATGTCAAAAGTTCTGACCTATCTAACCCACATGTGCTATTTCATTATATTTTAATCTTCAGCATTGGGAGTTCTCAATCTTAGTAAAAAAAAATATTACAAAGAAAGAAAGAAGAAGCAAAGCTGAAGACAAATCAACAAAAAATATGTGTATTTTATACATAAAACTAATGCTAGAGTGTTTGCCTTGTTGCATTCCATCAAATTGGATAAGGATCTAAGAAAGTATGGGAAAAACATTTATTGTTCTTCCAACAACCACCAAAACAAAGCCTTCAATTCCCTGTAACATACAATGGGGAATGCAGCCGTTGTGATGTCTCTAGTACTTATTTAACGTCTCCATTGCTACTTTAACAAGGCTTGTTTCTTTCCATGGCAGCAGTCTGCTTGTCTCCTATCGCCTAATGTCATAAAGCTGCCATGCATGTGTTACAAATCAGAGAGCATGGGCACTCTCATCTCTGATCTCTGCCACTACAATCTATATCTCTAGAGTGCACTATTTTTTTTTCTCTTCCAGTTTGCGGATCTCGTTAGAGAAGGCACTAAATCTTGGTTTTGGCTGCACATGATTTTCTGCAATAATAAAAATTAAATTTATGAATGTACTTTAAAATAAATTTGTAAACATTCAATTCAAAGCCAAGTGAACCTGCCAGAATTGACAAGTGTCTGTACAAAGAAATTCCAATTACTTAACCTGGCATCAGCTTTGGCGACTGATCTTGGGCTAAACCAAAGTCCATGAACTCAGAGTTAAACTTTTAGTAATTCTTCTACTTCGTTGAATTGAATGCAGGATAGCAGAAGAAAAGCATTACTCCTATATATATTGTGGTCCTACCACAGAATGTTAACAAAAGCATCAGCTTTCAAATTTCTTGGACTATCTTAAATATCAGGAAACTCCATTAATGTCAGTGAAGATCCTAGTTTTAAAACATCAACACATAATAGCTGTCCAGGTCAATCGGATTGCCAAAGCACTACCAGAAGGATGGAGTTTTATTACAGTATCAAAAGCAAAAGATGTAGAAAGCATGAATCCCATTATCACAGGAACTAGAGGACAGGGGTCAGCACAATAAATGGATTGTTTAAAATGTGCAAGACATTCCATCACCACATGCCACCAAAGATTTTTCTTTTTCTTTTTTCTTTTCCCGGAAAAGGTTTAAGCCAGATAAAGCTATCAATGATGAAGCCATGTAACAAATTTCAACTAAAACTCGTATCGAATTTTACAGATCACCTTGCAAAGAAAATTATTGGTAGTATTCAACTTTTATTAACTCAATTAACTTTTATAGGGTAAGATTTTTAAATATTTTATCCCAAAAAAAAAAGTTTTGAGTACAATGCCAAAAAAATAGAAAACTTATCCTATCGTACTGTATATTGCAATACATACTCTGTATGCTATTATGCTTTTTCAGAATTGGATTATAATAAACCTGAAATTGATTCTGCCATGCATGAAAAAGAAAAAAAAAGTAAGTGGAGCATGTATTGGGACTTAGTTTTCTTTATTTTATTGGTACTATTCTTAAGAAAATTTTTTACAGTATTTAATTTAGTCGGTAAGGTTTTGGCAAGAAAAACAGTAAAAGGATGAGTGAGGTCAAGAACAGTATAACACGTTTTTTTGGTTCTGAAACTTTTGGTAGCACAATGAACAAAGCATGCATTTGGACTTAGTTTTCTTTATTTTATTGGTACTATTCTTCAGAAAATTCTTTACAGTATTTAATTTAGTCGGTAAGGTTTTGGCAAGAAAAACAGAAAAAGGATGAGTAAGGTCAAGAACAATATAACACGTTTATTTTGTTCTGAAACTTTTGGTAGCACAAGGAACAGAAACAGTACATGCAGATTGCAGGGTGAAGTTGTCGAGCCATCGAGGACAAAGCGAAATGGGTGGATTGTTGGATGCCAGGCACGAAAGAGAAATGGGTGCCGTTGAAGTCTTGTCATAACGCAATATGGATTGCGGAAGAAGAAATAAAGTTTCTTTAGTTTTGTATTCATATATTTCAAGGCTTCCGTCGTAGCAAATTGGTAGTTCCTCCTGAATTAATTTGAAACTCTTTCTTGGGCCAATATTTCGTTTTCTATAAGAAAAAAGAGTTGACTCACTATAGTTTTCATTTAAGCATAGGAAGCCGAAAGCCCACGACTAAAGCCTACTTCATTTTGATAACAAAGTTAAGGGCAGATGTAGCAAAGTGCTCTATAACAAATTCAAGGGTTGTGCCGGTTGGGGTTCATGATTCAATTTGGTAGAGAGTTGTATTTTAGAGGCAGAGTTCCATGGTGTTTTGGAAGGGCTGGAATCGGCTTGGAAAAAGGGTTATAGAAATGTGATGGGGGACTTTAACACCTTGTTGGCTTTCAACAAAAATTATTCATCCTTTACAAGAGGAGGATCCTTTAAGTCAGGTGATCTTGGTTGGAATGCAAAAGATTTGGCACCAAGAATTGGCATTATCTGATTACTCATGTCTATAGGAGGTAAATAAATGTGTTGATCTACTTGGGTATTCGGCTAAGCCAGGTAGTAAGGGCCTCACATATTTAGATCACCCTCATCCTCATCAAGTACTGCATTGCATTTTCTTTAAGATTGCCATTAAGAAATGCGGGTTCAAATCCCGACAGCGGAAGTTTGTTTTTGATTTATTCTTTTTTTCTCATTCTTGGACGAAAAAGAGAAGAGTTTGAATCTGGATTCACTGTAAGATTCATTTAAGCTTATAAAGCCGGAAGCCCGCTATGAAAAGTCAATCCACTTCATTTCCCCAATAAAATTAAAAGTATTGTTAGCTCAATTGTTTGTTTGAATTCCAGCAGGCAGCGGAAAAATAACTTTTGTTTTTTCTTGTCAGTATTCGTGGCCCAATGAAATAGAAGAGACCATCTCATAAGCCCAAGGGAGGTTGTTGGTGACGAAAGATTGAAAGTCTTTCAAAGAGTCTTTAGAAGAGTCTTAGTGGTTGGCAACACATTTTTATAGTTGCCGCCCTCCCATCCCTCATTCAGTTCTTGAATTTTGGAAGGCATGAATTTATATGACTACCTTCCGCTGGTAATTCGTAAGACGATGATTTCGGGTTCAAATCCCAGCAGCTGAATTTATTCTTTTGAAGTTGATTTAGAACAAGTTCTAAACATCATCCGATCATTTTGGACCAAAAAAAAAATGTAAATAGAAAATGGAAATCTATTCAATGATAAAATTTGATTTGCAGTAGAAGTTGCAAATTTCAAAAACCTAGTCAAGTCGCAGAAGAAGGGTTATTTGTTAGCTTTTAAGCCAATCAAGAATACCCTTTTGTGCTTCTGTCAGGTGTTGCTCACTCTTCCCTTTCACACTTCCTTCTATGAATTCAAAGTAATCCTTGTAGTTTCGCTTACAATAAATAATTCTGTAAGATAACAATTGAAAAGAAGACACAAAACACTCTGAAAAGGTAGATGGATGGAAAAAGGAAAACAGAGAAAAAGTAGCCTGCAAACATTGCAGCTTCAAAATGCATGCATTAGAGTTACAAAACGTTAACAACATTCAGGAGAAGATTTATATACTTAATTTAAATTAAAAGTGGTAGTTAAAATAAAGAAACAAAAAACAGAACTAAAAATAAGAGCATTGTTGAATTCGTCGAAGTCATCTGAACTCAAAATTCGCATACTTCCGTGACATCATAAAAGCTTTTAGTTCAAACAGTTGACATGAGAAGTAACGAAAATATTCATAGTTCAAAAGCTTTTGAACTCAACCCTTTGAACACTCCAGTTATCGCAGTCAACCGGCTTTTAATTTGGCGAACATGCTCCAAATTGAGAGTACTAATCTTTGAGGTCAATTTATCTAAGGCTGGATGAGCCTCTTGCTCTAATGTCCTTGCCTGCCGTGGAAAAAGAACAACGCAATGGCCAAAAAAGTTCAAGGACAAACTAAAAGAGAGTAAGAATGCTTACTTCATTTTCTAAGCAGCTTCAAGGAATGCCTCCAATGCAACATACTCAAATGGGAGAATCTTTTGATCCATCTTGGTGCTCATGACCTTGTTTCTCTTCTGCCTTACCTTCCTCATCTTGAATCTGGGACTGTGAAAACCTTGCGGACAAATTCTGGGAACTAGTTCCAACTATGCAGCTGGAAATCATCAATAGCACCCTCCAAATGATAGACTCAGCGAATAAAAACATAACTTTACCTTGTTGAATTAAGCGAATTTCATTGATGCGTAAACAAAGCAGTAAAAAGAGTCCTCAACTCCTTCACCTAGTGGTTGAAGAGGTACGAAGACATTAAGATCTTTGTTTCAAATCAAGACTTCCTTCCCTTAACACTTGTCATGGTTACGCCGATCCTATGTAACCAAAAAAGAAAAGCAGTAAAAAGAATAAGAACACTAAATCGAAAACCCATAAAACAAAATTCACTAAACAAAGACATATAAAAACCTGGGCTTTGGTTGCTTGATAATGACACAAAATCCGGCTATGCAACTCGTTAACAAACGGCGTAACCGAAGGTTCCTTAGAATTCAACAGCAAAACCTCTTGGGCCATGATGATTGCCTTAATGTGTTCCAATTGATCACGATCGCTCTTTCTCCACCCAGAATCGTCGACGGGTACGACAGAAGCGGGTCCAAGATCCAAAGATCTCGATCAGGTAAACCCGTGCGTCTCATGATATCATGCTTTCCGGCCTCCACCACCTGGGTCTGGCTCGTCGAGTCCAGTAAAAGCAATGCCGGGACATCGGACCCTTTTTCTAATGAGCAGCGACGGTGAAGGTAAGAATTTGATATGGATTTGGAGTGGGCCACTTTGATGGATTCAGGTTATCTTGGGGTTTGGCAGTGGCTAAGCCCTACGTTCAGCAATAAGTTTAGTTTGATAATTTCACTCTTCAAACTCTGATGCAGTTATTAATTATATCGGTTGAACTATGCTTGGTTTCTTGATTAAAAATGTTTTCATGGGCCCCGATAAAATTCGATTTCAATGATCTTGGGATCTGAAGATGATCTCTATAAAAAAAAAAGAAAAAAGAAAAATCAGATTATTTCTTTCGTAAAACTTGCTATATAATCTTGAAATATTGTTAGCATATTTAAGGATTAAAATTTATGGTTATATTATTCAGTGAAATTAAAATATAATAAAAAATTCAACACGTATTTATAGTACAATGACAAATTTAGTTTTAATCTCAAATTCCAATGATCAGTGAACTAATCAATTTTGGTAGTTGAAGAAAAAGTAATAAAACATAAATAAAGGATTAGTGCTAATTCTTAATGAGAAATATGTTTTAACAGTATAGAATTAAAACGATCTATCTACAACCAAGTTCCTTAACAGTATTAGCTAGTCAGAACTCCTAATGCAGAAGAAATTGTACTAAGCATGGCGGTCTTTGTCATTGACTGGCAGCTCTATTCGTTGAGGAGTAGAGGTAAAGCCCCGGCACTGGTCCCAACTCAAATAAACAAAAATTGGTGCGGCTAAAGGCAGAGCACGAGACAGCCCGTAAGCACTTGATCAAAATGTTTCTTCGACTACTTTTACTTCTAACCATCTTCGGGATTTCCATGTCACAGTCAATAATCCGGAATTTACCAGGCTTTTCTGGTAATCTTCCCTTCAAACTTGAAACCGGGTATGTCTATATTGAAGAACTTCTGCTGTTTATGCTGCATTTTTCGCTCCTTATAATTCCAATGTGAGTGTCAACTATTGATTCTAGCTGTCTCTTATATTGATCAATTTATGGTACATTGGAGTAGGTGATTTGGATGAAGTGCATCTATTCTATTACTTCATTGAGTCTGAGAGGAACCCGAGAGATGACCCCCTTCTGCTCTGGCTCAGCGGTGGCCCTGGTTGCTCTGCTTTCTCTGGTCTTGTTTATGAGATTGGTACGTTTCTTATCCTTCACACATGGATATCTCTTCTGCCTTTTGCTCGTTGGAGCTTAAACAACAACCTCTCTTTACCTTATAGTCAACGTCTACTATGAACCAAACGTTCAAGTACGGATGATATCTTTGTGAATATCTGTAGGTCCATTAACTTTCAATTATAGTAATTCCAAAGGAACCAAGCCAACATTTGAGCTGAATCCATATTCATGGACGAAGGTTCTAAGATCTTAGCCAGCTGATACATTTGTTGTTTATTTTCAAGATAATTATGCATTCCTTTGTTTCATTGACAATTAGAGCAAATCTACAGGTTGCCAACGTTATATTTCTGGATCAACCGGTTGGTACTGGATTCTCATATGCAACAAAAGCAGAAGGATATAATACTAGTGATACATCATCAGCAGCACAAACCTATGAATTTCTAAGGAAGGTGAGCACAACCTGTTAAAGGGATTAATGGAAGAACAGAGAAAACTTTTGGCAACTGATTCACGCATTTGAGTTACAAACAAAGAGTACTGATTATTAAAGAGACCAAGTTTGCATTTTCCTTTATGCAAGCATACCTAAGCTAGGATTTTGTTCCAGGGGTTCAAAATAGCAGGATTTAATTCTGTTGTGACTGACATATTTTGCAGTGGCTTATGGTCCATCCAGAGTTCCTTTCAAATCCACTTTATATTTCTGGCGACTCTTACTCCGGTATAACTGTTCCAGTCATCGTTCAAGAAGTGTTAAATGGTATAACTCATGTTTGCAGTAGTCAGTTTTTATATATCTTTAACAAGCTTCCATTATTTGGGTAAAATGAAAGCTGCATAAAAGAGTTTCATATTATTTAAAACCATTCGTTGCCTGTCAGCAGGCAAATGGAAGGAAAATGTAGAAATGGAAACTTTCCTAGAGCTTTTCAGTTTCAACATAAGATGTTGATTCATCTTCATTTTTTAATTTATTATTTCAGGTCTTCAAATTGGACATCAGCCGCCAATGAATCTCCAAGTATATATCTCCAATTTAATAGCAACTAAAACTTACTTTCCTTTCTCTGATTGACTTTCCGAGTCATGATTGAAATAATGTTTTTTTCTCACTGGACTCAGGGATACATCCTAGGCAACCCTGTAACAGATGCAGAATATGACTTGAACTCTAGGATTTTGTTTGCTTATCGAAAGGCACTCGTATCAAAGAGTCTCTATGAGGTAAGATAATAGTTTCTTTTTAGTGATTATCATTAATTCATTTCAGTTCTTGTACAGTGCAATTCTATAAAATGCAATATAAATAAATCTATTCAAGTCAACAAAAAGAAACTGCAAGGGGGAATATACAACTCCAGATCCAAACAACACAGCCTGCATGTCTGATCTTCAAGCTGTTACTCAGGTGAGCAGGTTAAAATTCTATTGGTTTTCATATGATCATTCTTTGATTTTCCAAGTTTTACGGGCACGAAACTGATCAAGCATTTCAAGTTTTATGTTTGCTAGTGCTTTGGAAACATAAATGTGGCACAAATATTGGAACCGAACTGTAATAGATTGTCTCCAAAACCAAAAAGACCGAAGTGGGATCATAGATCACTTGGCGACAGCTCTTTAGCTGTTCTTCTGTCATCTCCTCAGTCTGCTGAACTGTGGTGCCGGGTAAATGACAGACTTCCCATCTATTTTACATTGCAGTACTCTACATATTTAGATTAAAGTGACCGTTGTCCAAGTATATAACTAATTTCTTTGTCTGCAGAACTATCATTATCTCTACTGCTACGTTTGGGCTAATGATAAAACTGTCAGAAGCGCTCTTCATATTCGAGAGGTTTATTTAATACTGAATTATAACAAATGTTAAAGTCTCTGATATCATGTAAATTCTAAAAAACATCTTCACAGCTGACAAAATTATTCAGGGAACAATTGGGGAGTGGTTGAGATGCAATGGCAGCTTATCCTATGATTATGATGTCTCGACTAGTATTGGTTATGAGCGAAACCTGACCAGGGAACGGCTTCGAGCTCTCATTTACAGGTAATGCCATTTAAACTTTTGTTCTTCATAGTTCATAGTTTGCTATACCTGTAAACCATAAACCATCCGTAGATTGATGATCAAGTTATGGTCTTTTAATTGGTCCAACCACATGTATTTTCTTGGACTTTTAAGTTTTAATTCCCTAGCTAGCTAAACAAAACTTTTTCTGCTCTCCATCGTAGTGGTGGATCATGACTATGGCTAGACCTTATTGGGCACACTAGCATGGATAGAATCATTGAATTTGACATTCCAGGTTGATTGGTATCCATGGTTCGTTGATGGTCAGGTTGCAGGGTACGTATGTTTCTATTTGAAAAATCCATTCTATACTCTTTCTTATCTCCATCTTCCCATGCTATTATTATTCAAACTTTTCTATTCCTCCACTTTGGTTCTTTCCTTTTCTTTTGAAGATATAGTATGAATTACGCGGAGGAGAAGTACTCTTTGACATACGCAACAATTAAGGCAAGAATTCTCTAATCAACCTTTCCAAATTCCAATTATATTTTCATTCAAACGCTACCAAAAGATTGATTGCATCACCAATCTCATGTGGTTGCACAGGGTGGGGGTCACACTGCTCCAGAATACAAGCCTAAAGAAGCCCTTGCCATGATTGAAAGGTGGCTCGCTCATTTCCCATTATGAAAGCTTAACAAGCTCCGAGAATCAAGATAATTAGTTAGCAGTAGTTTAATCTAATTCATAGTTGAACCTTCAAGGTTTCAACCAATAATATGACGCTTTAGTTTCATTTGAGATCAAAGCAACTTAGTTTCATTGGCCCATCAAATAATTTATGTTCCCTGTATATGCTTCATTATCTGATTTGCCCCCATATATGTACATAGAAGCTTGGGTATAATTTCTTGGACTCACCATAATATGGCTGAAGCCAACCAATTGAAGGTTCTTGATAACACCGCCTCCAGGCTCGGTTCCCACAACCTCTCTCCGTCTCACATTCTTTGATCTGCAATGGTTTTCTTTTCCTAATATACAACGCTTTTTATTCTACCAATCCCCATGCCCAACCTTGGACTTCATGGAAACCATTCTGCCATTGCTAAAACACTCTCTCTTACTCTCAAACAATATATTTTTTCCCATTCAAAACCAATATTATGTGCTCTCCATCACCTGAAAAGCCTTATATCCATTATAAAGATGTGATTTTGTTAGTTCCATGGTTGTCAAATCCACTGCAGATTTCAACCATGTCGTTGCCAATTATCCACTAGATGTTAAATTGTTACAACTGTAGACACCTCGTTTAATAAACATTTAATAAGAAATTTAAGTTATTTTGACTCAATTTAATTTCAAACACAAAGATTTAAAATCGATGGGGTTTGAGTTTATCCGATATCTAATAAATTTTTTTTTATGATTATTTTTATTTTTGTTTTATTTAACAACAAAGATAATGAAAGAAAGATAATAGAATAAATAAGATAAATATATATTTATCTGATTCATTCTATATTGTTGTAGTTAACTTTAGGTCCTATCAATACTTTGCTTACAAAATAGATTGATCATTGTTTTCCCTCTTCTTTTTGGATTAAGATCGAGTTGAAAGCCTGATATGTGCTAGCCAAATACAATATAATGTGTTGCCAGTCCTCGAGTTAGACAGGACATGTAAGGAGGATAAGAACTGTTTGAGCTCATCAAAAGCTTTTTGGCATTGAAGAGGTCATCTGAAGTCAGAGACATTCCTACGAGTTTTGAAGAACGTTGGTCATAGTTTTATTGATCTAGACATAAATCGGCTAAGCGTGACTATTTTGCCTATTAATCTCTGCATTTCTTTTACCAACGTCAGCGCTTTCATTTTTAAGATCGCCTAAACCTTATCGAGGTTTGCCTCTATCCCCCTTTGGTTAATCATGTAATCAAGGAACTTGCCTGATGTAACCTCAAAAGCACATTTGCTTGGGTTAAGTCTTATATTATACTTTTTCAAAATGTTGAAAGTTTTTCTGAGGTCTTTCAAGTAGTCGGTTAAACTCTAACTCTTGACTATCATGTCGTCTACGTATACCTTCATATTACGATTGATCTGGTCTTTGAACACCTTGTTCATCAATTTTTGGTAGGTCACCCATGCATTCTTCAATCCGAAGGGCATGACCTTGTAGCAGTAAAGGCCTTTTTAGGTGATAAAGGTTATTTTATCCTCGTCTTTTTTTAATATTTTGATCTGATTGTAGCCGGAATAAGCATCCATGAAGTTAAATAGGCCATGCTCGGCACTATCATTTACTAACTGAATTATGCTAGGGATGAGGAAGCTATCTTTTGGACAAACTTTATTCAGATTGGTAAAGTCCAAGCACATTCTCCATTTTTTACTATGCTTTTTGAGTATGACCACATTAGCTATCCACTCATGATAGTAGACCTCAGGATAGTAGACATCCCTGATAGAGTCAGCTTATAATAATTTATCAATCTTTTCCTCAATGACCTGTTGTCTTTCAAAGGTAAAAGTTCTTTTCTCTTGCTGAATTGGTTTGACCTTGGGATTACTGTGTAGTCTGTGGACCATCACATTGGTATCAATTTCAAGCATATCGAACGGTGTCTAAGTAAACAGGTTGGCATTATCTTTTATGAGTTAAATTAGTTGGTTTTTATGCTGGAGCTTGGCTTCGATCTGCATGTATTTTTTAGGAATGTTGTTCCAGAACGAAATTGTCATGAGGTCGTCAGTTGGCTGGGTTAGTTTGTATCTGAGTTTGACCTTTAATCGATAAGTTCTTTTTGTTCCATTAGCTTGAGATCATTTTTTGCGAGAACATATCTTGATGTGATGACTAGTATATTGAACAACATGTTGAACGTATTAGTAGAAGTAAAGTATATTCTTTATTTAATGTTGTATTTTGGTCGACGTGTTAGCTCAATCCAAATAACATTAAATTTTTTACATCGACTTAAGAACTTAGTCATTTCTATTGTTGCTTCAAAAAATTTAAGAAATAGGACAAAATTAAAGTTTTTCAAAGCTTAGAAGCTCATAGTGGCTTAAAAGTGTACTTCTCCCAGATCGATCTTATGTTTTATACTTTTGTCAATGGTTTTCTACTCTTTATCAATTTTTTGTGTGGGTTTCTCTTTGCTTTCCTTTTCAGTGTTGGTCGAGCTGTCTATTTACTTCCCAGTCCTATTTTTTATTATTATGATGTAACATTACCGTATTGTAGACTGGTCTTATTGAACTTTTCTAACCCCTATAGGTGTTAAGAATTTCACCTTCAAATAGGGAGTTGAGCTTATAAGCCACATAACAGGTTGGCTAGGTCAGGTTAATATTATGTTGTAGGCAGATGGGATATCCACTACCATGAACTCCACGATCGAGGTGATTATTTTTAGTTTGATCTCTAAAAAGATTGAGAGCTTGATAGTTCTTTTTATAGGCACTTACTCATTTTTAAACCCCATAATGTGGTGTTGATTAGTTTCAATTGATCTTCATTAATCTCTGTTTTCTTGAAACAACTATATTACATAACGTCAGTCAAACTCCCATTGTTAAATAAGATTATTTTGACCACATAGTTATACACTAAGGTTATGATCACTATGGCATCATCATATGGGTGTTGGATCCCCTCAAGATCTTTCAAGTTGAATGAGATCAGCTCGTCTCTCCAATCTTTTTCTTTCTTACCTAAGTTACCTACTGCCATTACCATTTCCAGGTTAAACTTCCTCTTTGCTGAGGTAGAGCTACCCTTGTGATCACGTTAATCACCTTGGTAATTGACTTACTATTTTTAGCTTGGCCCTACTTTTGATTTGGCTATTTCTTCGGGTACCTTTTTTTTCTTGATCTGTTCTTCCTTTTTTGCCTTAAGTGGGCACTTTGGGTTTATGTCTGTAGTATTTTCTAAATTGATCTTATCTTTTCTGTCCCACAAATCTCTTCAACTAACCTTGCCTTATCAAAGCTTTAATTACATTTTTTAGGTCGATACAGTCTTTGGTATTATAGCTGATGTTCTTATGAAAGGTATTTTTTTTTGGGTCTCGCTTGTATTTTACCTCAGTGGCTTAGGCCATCTGAGGTTAAAATTTTTTTCGACTTACATCAAAATCCTTATACGAGAGGTATTTATATAGTGTAGCTTTTTTATCCACTGAGGCTTTTAACCCTATGTTGTTTTCCTTTTCAGAGAGAATCATAAAATTCTTTACCTTTTTTACAACCGAAGAAAGAGGATGAGCCTCTCTCACATTGGTTTATTTTCATTGTAGTTTAAGTGTTGATATATTTCTCTATTATTAGTAGCATCGATATATTCCTTATCGTTCACTAGTCAGTGCGACAATAGTGATTGTCTATTTCAAGTCTTTAACCTATAGAGCTTTCGTGTTAAAACGCATGACATAGCTTTCTAGGGTTTCATTTTACCCTTGGTGAATTGACATCAAGCTCATGGTCATTTTTTTAGCTCTTTAACTATTCATAAATCGGGACAAGAATAGTGGCTGAGCTTTTTGAATGTAATGATCGACCTTGGCTCTAGAATGCTATACCAAGATTGAGCTGCGCCTTTCAATTTAATGGCCAGACCTTTACACATTAGAGCTTTATTTACCTCATGTATCATAATATTAGTTCTATAAAGTTTCAAATGATCAAAGGGATCAAAAGTACCAATATATGTTTTCAAAGTTGTCATTTTGAATCTTTTGAGAGGCATGGCTTTATCAATCTCTTTAGTAAAGGATGAGGTCTTCAAGAATTTGAGCTCATCCTCAAATGCCATTGCTTTTGTTTTTAGCTTTTTTTTTCATGGCTTGCATCCAAGCTTTCAAATTTCTGTTCGGTTGAAGTTCATGGTCTATTTATTTGGACTTTTGGGTTGTGGCATGTGTGAAATTGTGGCTAGGACAATAAGGAGTTAGGTTTATGTGTTTTTCTTTTCTAGAGGTCGATGAGGCTTTTGCCTCTTTGTAGCTCGATTGCTTGACAACAGTTTTTTGGCCTTGTGTGAGTAAGTTTGGCACTTTAAAAACTTTTGGTGGGAGTTATAGTTTGCAGTATCTTATTGAGAGATTGCATTTGCTTAGTTAGGGCTTAAAATTGCTCCATAGTCGGTCATACCTATGGTTGAGCTGGGTGGATAAAATGCTAGCTTTGGTAAGTTTTTGTTATAGTCGAGGCGATTGCCTCTCCTTCTTTTTAAGTTCTTTTTCTTGGTGGCATTGTTTTGTGCTCGACTAATATGAAAATGTTATCCTTTACTTTGCGCGCCAAATGTTGGTGCCAAGTTCTAACCTAAGGGTGTTCTTGTAAGTGTAGAAAAGAAGGACGTTTAGAGGCAAAGGTAGGATGTGTTCCCTGCCTTTACACTATGACGCACAAGTCAGTAAGGATAAGATAAAAAAAGAAGTAAAAAATAGGAAAGAGAAAAAAAAAGAATGGGATAAACTTAGCTTCATGGTGCCTAAGTCTTTATATTTATAGGTAAGCTGAGGGAGACAAAAAAGGGACAATTAGGACAAGGCCGAACTGAGGTGGCACTGACCATGTCAGATCGACTTGACATATCAGGTTGGCACAAATAACTAAGATATCTCGGGTTATCTGTTGAAGGCTTTGAGAGGAGAAAAGACTACTATGTCTTTTTGACCATTATATGTCCCTAATATGTGGTTTCATGTATTTGATGAGATCTTGACATCTGTTTACAGGGCGTGTGGTGACTTGACTTGCCTTGAAAAATCACTTTTTTTATGGAACAAGGATGTGATCAAGGATGAGATAGAGTCCTTCGAATATATTAAAATCAATTTGTAAATTTTAGAGTTCATTATAATCTCTTACCAAAAAAAAAAAGAAAAATAAAAAGTTATTATCATCTCAATTTAAAGACATTACATCAATTGAAATGCAAAAATATATAGCATGATAAAATAATGATTTCACACCAATAGAATTTTACATTTGTCGGTTCTTATGGAATCCAAACAAAAAACAAAATATATAGCAAAATCAAGAAATCGTGCTTAATTTAATGCTTCTAACACTTGGTTTCAATCTATTCAAAAACCAAGCTTTCCCATGCTTCATCTTTCA